CTCTCGGGGACACCATTGTCAAGTGCAGCATGGCCATAGAATTCACAAGACACATTCCCTACATAAAAATTCACAAGCATGCATTTTTGCAAGTCAATCCTCTAACACTTTCAGAGGGCCAGATTCCGTACGCCTAGCAACAATTCTATTTTTTTGTGTGTTTTATCCTTCTTCTCAGCTTCCTTGCTAGGCTTCAGGGAATTAGCAGGACTTACCACCAATTGCATTGCAGAGCTTTTTGGCCCACAGTGAGGCTTGCTATCATCAGGTATGTAAAATCTTGCCCAGTGCAGTCAGAAGTTAAAACCAAACCATCGTAAACCTGCAGGACTTATGACCTTGAAAGCCCTGGGGGAGTTTCCTGGACCAGACCTCAGTGGAACTTTGCCCAAAGCCCCAAATGGGAAATATATATGAACTGATTCTGTGCAGTGTGAAGGCTGAGGCAGCAGCAGAGTACTTTTATAGACTGATACAATGATAGATTAGTACACATTTAATCTTAGGCTCGGGGTTTAGAGGAATCGGTCTTCCTCAGCCCCTCCTCCCTCTCTGTTCTTGTTAATAGTCCAGAGTGCAGATTTAATGGTAATGGGCATTCTTCTTTTGTGACACAATTCTTCTATATCTAAGCCAATTAGAAAGTCATTCCATGAGGAAAAGAAGTGCACATGGGACACCGGTGTGTCGTGTGGCTGAGATTAGCTGTAGGATTGCAGACCGCTAGTTTAATTGGGATTGGGGGGAAGAAAAGAGATCACGGGAAGTCTTAGAAATTTGGTGATAAAAAATTAAATCTCATCACATTTTAAAGTATATAGGTGTCACTGACAAGGAAAGGCAGCTTATATTCAAATTACGGAACCAATGAATTAGGGGCTATGGTTTACATTACAAATTTCTTTACTTTTTGCTAGGGTCTCCACAAAGGAGGCTAAATTTCTTGGTTATCTTTAATATATATATATTTGATTTGCAAACATCCGGTGGGTATACTGCTTTTCAGGAGCCAACTTATTGGGTAAAGCAAGAAACTGTGCAAATGTATTAGAGCTAAAAGATGCCAAGTTGGAAAATACTTAGGATGTAAACACAAAGTTCTTGGCCACAGCTTATGGGGGAGATAGGAATTATAGGCTGTCTCGAGAAAAGCTGAAGAAACAGACCCATGTGGGTCTGTCAGTCTGAGGTCTGGTGTGTACAGATAATGAAGTTTTTTTTTTTTTTGCTTTAAATACATTTATTTATTTTTAAAAATTTTAAATTGAAGTATAGTCAGTTACAGTGTCAATTTCTGGTGCACAGCATGTCCCAATCATGTGTGTGTGTGTGTGTATGTATATATATATATGTATATATATATATATATACATACACACACACACACACATACATACATACATACATATGGTAATTAGGTATTTTGATCATGGAAATGATTCAGCCGCACATGCTGAACGGAAGATCCAGATGACACCAAAGCTGTAGGCTTAGCCCTTTTTGTTAGATTCCATATCAGATTCTAAATTCTATCAGAGCTTAAGTAAAAAACAAAAGCAAAAAAAATTTTTTTAATTACAAGAAGCTGGAGAAGTAAAGAATTAATCTCTCTAACAGTGTTAGAGTTCCTTGCAGTTAGATATCTCTAAGATATCCAACACATCCTCACTTGATGTCTAGATATTTTAGTTTATCTGACTTCTCAGAGGCTCTAAATATCAGCAGTTGTAGCTGAAGATTTCTACATCCTATTCGCATGCGAAAGGAACACGGGAAGTAAGTATAATTCCATATCCAGTGATTTTCTGCCAGAAGAAGCAGAAGCAATGAACACTTCTCCCCGAGGCATTGAGGAATGGCCCAGGACCTCTCTAATAGGGAAGATTCGCTGTCTCAGTGTCTGCAACCTACCTGATTTTTTTCTCCTGGGATTTTTCTCAGCATCTCTGAGAAATGCTCCAAAGGCATTAAGTGGAATGGAATTAAAAACACTACAAAACTAGGGTTTGGAACTGTGCTGTTGTTAATGACAGTGAGAGTTCAGGGTGCTCTGTTTAGAGTGGAGTCTGTGCTCTGTTTAGTGGTCTGCTGTGTCCAAGATCTCCAGTTGTTCTGGCTATCTTGCCCTTTAATGTTTAGATACAGTTGGTGTGAACCCCATGAAATATACAGTGCTATATCTGGTGTTTGACTACATATCTAGGCGTTCTTGGTGGTGGTAGTGGTGTGGTAGGCGTGGGGAGGGGAGGTGGTGGTGGTGATCGTGGTAGTGAGACTTTCTCTTGGGAAGCTCTGACACTGAATTCTTACATGCAGTGAGATCTCTGGGCCATCCGAATTTTCCCTCCTGTTCCTTTCCAGCGCCAGGTCATCCTTCTGGGTACAAACCTAATCCCCTCTTACCCAAAGTATGCTGACTCAAGAGTGTGTGTGGCAGTCTTCACTTAAGGCTTAGGACTAGGATTGCACAGTGTAAAAATCAAAATGGAAAGTCAGTATCCTTCTTAAAATATTGTGGCAGTTACTGAAACCAGGAATTTCCTTCCCTAATGCTTCTCTGTCTCTAACTCATTCATCATTATTTCCTCTCTCTTCCAGCTCATTTACGCCTCCTCCCCTTCCCCTCAAATTCCTATTCGTTTGTACATAGAGATCAGTTTAGCTTACTCTGTATCTCAATTCGAACTCATCTTCATTTCTCCTTAACTGCATTAAACAAAGATGGTTCTTTCCCTCAAAGGAATTCTATTCCTTAGCAAGAGTTAAACAGTTATGTTCAATGAATTTTCACTTTGTTTCAGTGCTTCAAGGCACACCCATCACTCAATCAATAAAGTACCTTTTGAACACTTAACACTTACTCACTTCCTCTGTGGGCATGTAAGAGCAGTGGCCCTTTTCATTTGAACCATACAGGCCTTGGAGGTGGAATCATGGAGGCCATGGGATTTCTCCTCTGCCAACTCACTCCCCTTATATGCTAAAAGGTAGACTTGGTATATATGTGCTGCTGAAGCGAGCACGGTAGACTTGGGAAGAACACATATGCCCTTCTTTTAAACTCTTTTCCTAAAACTTCCTTGTGGTTCCAAGAGACTCCTCCTCTGTTGCCCTTATAACTCCATGACCCTCTGCCTTGTCATTTCCAAAACTGGGGGCCAAACAATCTGCTGAGAACTGCCACTGTTCTCATCCCAAATGGGACTGATGTCTCTCTGCAGTGGACCAGCCCCAGTGACAACACCTCCAACAGAGCACCACAAGACAGTTCAGTCCATCCCAAACACCTCTGCCTGCACAAGGGGCTATAAAGGGCTGTTTGTAGGTCCACTTGTTCCTAAGTCCTTCATAGGTAAAGGTTTAAACTTTAAAACTAGGCATGTTATTTTATTTTGTACTGATTTCTATTGAGCATCTTTTTGGAATAGTAAGCTAGTGTTACCTGTATCGAAATTCTATTGCCTCAGAATCACCCTCCACGTATACCCACCTCACCTTATCCTGCGACCTCTGTAAGTGACGTCAGGAATATCTTATCAGCTGCAGTATTCACACTGACAGTCTAGTCAGCACTCACTCTGATGCACAGACTTGAAAGGGCCTCCAAACAGTGGAACCATAGGAAACATTGAGAAAAAAGGTTTATGCAGCCAATTTTCAAAGTTTAGTTCTCCAGTACCCTTCTGGCCTTCTCCTGAATTAATATTAGTCTGATAGGCTTTTGATATGAAGGCTAAATATTCCATTTCATCAGTTACTTTTCCTTGTCTTTTGCTGATTACCATCCTTTGCTTAGACCTAGAGGTTTTCACTTTACATGATTTGCTTTGTCCTTCAGAATTGTTCCTACTGATGAATACTCATCCCATGGATCTGTGGACATCTATCATCTCCTTGTCACCTTCCATTTAAAAAAATTTTTTGACCTGTGCTTCCATTGTCATCATAACCTTTTATTAATGGTACTTTCAAAGTTCTCAATGTCTTTGTACTCATCAAAAATCAAGCACTTATCAAAAATAACAGAAATAGAAGCAATCAGAGTATGGACCAACAAACCAAAGGATGATTGAGCCTAAAATGACCAACATGACCAGTGACAGCATCCTTGGTGGTAGGTGGAGTTCATAGTCTTTTGCTTTGGGGTATCAATATGTTTATGATTTTGAAAGTATGTAAGGTGAAAATCTGTAAGTAGGTGATGTCCGTGTGTCTCTCTTGCTATTGAGGAACTCATGCTAGGCTCCCCAGAGTCGGATCATAGTGCAGTGTCAGCCTGGGATACCTAGTTACTAATTCCCATTGACTGTCCTAAGATGGACTCAGTAACCTTATGCCTCAGTGCAACTAGTCTGTTTCCCAAGGACCTCCCTCACAGGGGCTGGCAGAGATTTACTCTGCCTTTCTTTGTTCAAGTGTCTTCATTTCCCCAGGGAAGTGTCTTCCCGACTCTTTGTTCAAGAGTGGGGAAAGGAGTGAGGGGGTGGAATGAGCAGGATCAATAATTCTGCTGAAGTTCCCTTCACTTTTCTTCCAGGAGGACTAGATGCTCTCATGAACACAACTTTCCTGGTGGCCAAACTCCTTACAGAGTTTCTAAGAAAGATTTCCAGATGAAGGTATTCATTATGATCCTTGCTAAGGTGATACGAATTAATGTAAAGACGTGCAAACAAAATGTTCATTATGCTGTACACCAGAAATAATTGATGCATTGTAAACTGACTATACTTCAATTTAAGAAAATTCTCTCTGTTCCTCTCCATACTAGCTGGTCCCCAGTGGTGAAGTAACTCTGGAGATTTGGTGAAAGCTTTGCTATCCCGTTGCCTCTCCATCCCAGGAGAGTCACAGGGAGGGTGGGAGCTGAGGAGCTAGCTGTGGTCCCTGAGCCAGACCTTGGCTTAGGCTGCTTGATACACTGAATGACTTCAAAACAGCTCTGTTACACTAATTTTCATAGAATTTTGCCCTATAACTTAACCCAAAAGATGCCAAGACTTTACAATAAATGGTTACCCTGGAAACTCAGGGAAACCCAGGACAAACCCAAAGAATGAAATCATTATTTAGAACGTCCCTGGCCTACTTTTTCTAATTCTTGGTTAACACTTTTTGGACAGGCTCTCTGTGGCTGAGGAGGAGGGCCTGAAACTGCACATGCTTCATAAACAGATGACAAGTCCAACTGCAACAGGCAATGGGCCCTGCTTTGAACTTCACCAAGAGGCTCATTTAGCTTGAACGCCGTACCAGGTGAGATGCTGAAAACCTCTGCCTGTCTCTCCTGTGTACTCTCAGTCTGATACCTGCTGACATTCACGTTCCTCAGTTTTAAAGGTGTCACATGCACATTTGATAGATCCATTTTGTTCCAGAAATTATTGCATAGCATCATCTCATACAAAAAACAAGAAAGAAGGCACAATAAGCTGTTTGCTATCATGATCATGATTAGTGTTTCTATGGCCTGTTTTTTCCATCCTTTTACGTTAAGATTTATCTCTTTCTTGTAGACAACACATGGTTTCTTTTGGTTTTTTAATCATTATGAAAATGTCTGCTTTTGTTGTAGTTTACATCCTTCACAATTGAGGTGATTATTGATCTGGTTGGGTTTTCATCAACCATATTGGTGTTTGTTTTTTATTTATCACATTTCTTTGTTTCTTATTTTCCCTTTTTTCCTTCCTTCTTTTGGATTAACTGAGAATTTTTCATGATTTTATTTTATGGCCACTACTGGCTTAAAAGCTTATTAGTTAGATCTCATTGATTTAGTTTTCAGTGGTTGCTATAGATGAACAATATTCTTTAAATTTTCATATTCCCTTAAGAAATATTACAGTGTTACATGGATAATTAAAGAAACTTACAATAATCTATTTTCATTTCTATTACCCTGTTCTTTCACTGTTGTGTTCATACCGTGTTCTAAATCCACAATGTATTGTTATTATTTTTGCTTTAAACATACATATGTTATAAACTCCACAATACATTGTTGCTACTTTTGCTTTATATCTTAACTAAAACAAAAATGGAAAAGTTTAAAATATTTATCTATTGACTTCCCATTGCTGGTGTGCTTCATTCCTTTTGGAAGGTCCAAGTTTCAATCTGGTATCATTTTCCTTGCTCAAGGAACTTCCTTCAACAAATTGCATAATTTAGATCATCTGGAAATGACTTCTGACTTTTTGTTTCTCTGAAAAAGTCTTGATTTTTTTTCTACATTCTTGAAAGTTGTTTTTGCTGGATTTAGAATTTTAGGTTGTTAAGGGTCCCCTACACCCACACCAGCTCCTTCAGTGCTTGAAAAGATGCTGTTCCATCGTCTTCTGGCTCACACAGGTAATGATGAGAAATGTAATTTCTTTCTTTCTTTTTTAAAAATTGAGTTATAGTCGGTTTACAATATTGTGTCAATTTCTGGTGTACAGCACAGTTTTTCGGTCATACATGAACATACATATGTTCGTTTTCATATTCTTTTTCATCATGAGCTACTACAAGATCTTGAATATATTTCCCTGTGCTATACAGTACAATCTTGTTTATCTATTCTATATATACCTGTCAGTATCTACCAATCTCGAACTCCAGTCTGTCCCTACCCACCCTCCTCCCCACTATTTCTTATCCTCGTTCTCCTTAAGTAATGTGTCTTCATACATTTTATTATCATGTGCCTTGAATTTTTTTTTTGTTTTTCTTCTTCTTTTTAAAATCCTTTTTTGGTTTAATTGAGCTTGTGTATCATCAAATTCAGAAAATTCGCAGCCATTATTTTTTCTAACACTTTCCCTTTGGAGTGTCTAATCCTTTTCATATAGATCTTGTGGTGTTTTTTAATTCAGAAGTTCCATTTGGTTCATTTTTATGTCTTTCACTTACATCCTCACTAAGTTCATGTGTTTTGTTAATTACTTGAATGTAGCTAAAATAGATTTTTAAATGGCTTTGATTGCAGTTTCATAATCTCTATCATCTGTTCATCTATTTCTATTGAAAAATTTTTATCTTGGTTATGGGTCACATTTTCCTGCTTCTTGAGACATCAAATACTTTCTTGTTAAATGCTGGACCTTGTGAATATTATATCCTCAAGGATCTGGATTTTATTGTTATCCTTTAAGTGTTAGCCTTTCTTCTGGTGGTCAGTTCAGTTTGCTGTTCACTTTGATCCTCTTGAGACTTTTAAAGACTTTTCTTAGGGTAATTCTAGAGTATCTTATACTTTAGGAATATTTTATTTAACCCCCTTCTAAGATGTAGTCTTTCTGGGGTTTCTCGTGAACACTTGAAGTGATCAGCAAGACTTCCTATGTTGGTCAGAGAAACAAAACACCTCCCAGTCCTGGGTGAGCTCTCTGGACTATTTAGTCCATAACTCCTGAGGCACTGCTTGCCTAGCCTCCTGAATTTTCACACTATGCACCAGATATTAATAGTTAGCTGAGACTCCAGGGGGCCCATATGAGGATATCTGAAGCTATTTTTCGGCATTGGTCCCTTCTCCCAGAACTTTGCTTGCACCTCAGTCACCTGCCAGTCACCTCAAACTTCCAGAAGTCAGATCTCTGTCTCCATGACTTAGCAAGACTTCTATGCTCTTCTTGGGAGCCCTACCCTCCTGTGGTCTGCAGTGTGCCTTCAGGCAGAAAATAAGCATGATTGTTTGAATCATCTCTTGTTTCTCTTGTCTCATCAGAATCCTGTTGTGCATGTTGGCCAATGGCAGCTGTTTCATTCTCACCCCCACCACTTGTTTTCTAGTTTTCTGTTTGGGGAAATCAAACAAGGTAAATCAAATCTTTGCTACTCCCTCATGGCTTGGAGTAGACTTCTTAAATAAGTCTTTTTACAGTTAATTTGAATCAGGATTTAAAGAAGATCACATGTTACAAAGGTTTTGTCTGTAAACATCTCTTTTCTTTTGTAACTCATTCTTTTCCTTTTTTATGCTATTGGCTTCTTAGTTAAACTGAATAGTTGTACTTTGAAAATCTGGACTTGGCTGATTCCTTCCTTGTGTTATTATTTAACTCATCCTTCTGTTTCTGGAGAGCTGTGGTTAGATATAGAGTTTCAAAAATTCAGGTGAAATTTTTTTAGATAATAATATTTCATAGGTGCTGTGTATACTCCTGATGCATTACATCATAAGGCAAATAATGTCTGGCTTTCCAACTTAGAGTAATGCTAAGATGGGTCATTGTATTCATATATGAACATTCCAATCCCTGTTATAAGTTCCACCAATCAAAAAACTCCCTTTTATTTAATAGTTTTGGTATTTATTCACAATATTTGACATTGCTTCATTGGGATTGGTAAATCATGATTTTCTAATTCTATCATTTATTCTGCATTTACTTAACTAGAATTCTACTTTATGGTAGGCACTTTTCAATGAAAATTTTAAACTATTTTATTCTGCCATTTTTGAGAGCATCAGGTTGGAATTTGGGAAAAGGGGTTTGTAAAAAAAGACATATATGGTTTATATAAACAAAGCCATTGTTTTTGAATTTTAATAACATTTTAGTAATTAGAAAGGACTTGGAGCAGGCATATTCAAAGGAAAACACCATTGTTTCATTTCTGCTTGCAATTAAAAGTGATAACTTTAGCAACTCAGGGGGTGACCCTAGAGGTAATATTGACCCACAGTTTCATATTTTAAAAGCCTATTTAAGAGTGGGGAAAAAATGGCTTCTCAAACTGGAAGAGACCTCAGAGATTACCTACTGTATTCTTCTATTTTTCTTGATGAGGAAAATGAAGCTCAGAGAGGTTAAATGAAATAGAATAAAGCAGTGGCAAAAGCAAAGGCCCTAATATCACTACAGACCTGTGTCTGTTTCTTGACTCTGCATTGACCGCCTGTGTGACCTTTACATGTTATTTAACCTTGAAAGTCTTTAGCATCCTCATTTACATTAGATGACAGCTAAATGGCATAGAGCGTGAAGTGTGTCTAATGCAGTCTTGAAATATCTTAGACGCCTATATCAGCAAAGTTATTATTTAAAATGTATTTAACAGACACTTTTTGAGTGTGCAGTTTCAGGCATATGGTATATCCTGGAGATATGGTTTTCATGGGAGGCAGAATAATGGCCCCTCATAGATATCCACAGAACCTGTGAATGTGTTACTGCACATGGCAAAAGAGGCTTTGCAGCTGTGATTGAATTCTAGCTCTTGAGATAGGGAATGTCTCCTGGGTTATCCAAGTGGACCCAATGTAAACACACGTGTCCCTTAAAAGTGAAAGAGGGCTGTAGGAGAGCTACAGTCAGAGAGGGAGATACAATGATAGAACCAGAGGTTAGAGTGATGCAGCCATGAGCAAAGGAATGTAGGTGTTCTCTCAAAGCTGGAAAAGGCAAGGAACAGAGTGTCCCTTAGAACCTCCAGAAGGAACACAGTTTACTGGCACCGTGATTTTAGCCTTGTAAGACCCATTTCTGACTTCCGATTTCTACAATTGGAAGATAATAGATTTGTGTTGCTTTAAGCCACTATGTTTGTAGTTATTGATATAGCAGTGATAGCAAACAAGTATAATTTTAAAGAAGACCCGGTCCCTATCTTCAAGGATATTATTATTTCTGCTTAACCATTCTCAATTGGCCTGTTTTATCTGTTCTCAATTCAGTGCTTTTTGTGTTGCAATAATATTTCCCAGTTACCAGCCATCACCTTCGTGACTTTTTACCATGATTTCGTATCACCTGACACCACACCTATGATTTGGGGGGTTAGCATCGGGTGAATTACCATGTTGCTACTGGCTTCAACCTCTCCCAATGCAAATATGTTTCTAAAAATCGTAAGTTTGATATATACTAATGATATATTTTTGAATATGCATTAAGATATGCCCATACCCATTAAATTATTGTTTCACATAGCCCCTCTCCCTAAATTACTTTACAAACCATCGGTGATGCTCATCAGTATTTTGGGACACTTCTCTGTACTCTATTCAGCATTTAGCTGGATTTTCCTGTCTTAGAACTCTTCACTGTGGATTTTAGTTTGCTTTGATGAGACATGGGTTAACCAGCATGACTACTAACCAGTATAGCAGCAATGGGGGAAAGATGCCAGGAACTCGGCTCCTTGCTGATCTATGATGTTATTAGGCATCAGTCTTTAATCAGCTCTCCTGAGAGCTTATAGATCCGTGTCATTTGGAAAAGGAGCACAGGGCCTTGAACTGTTTTGCACATGCCCTCACATGG